GGCCTCCAGCGTCTCCCGCCCGGCGGCCTCTGCCGCCCTCCGGCACCCGAACGGTCTCCCGGCGCCCTCCAAAAGGAACATCCGACCTCTGGGGTGGCGCAGGTCTAAGCGCTGCCTGGCTCCCAGCTGCATCTGCGTTTGCTTCGGGGATCTTCCTGTCATCCTTGCACACTCAGAGTGCACAAAGCTCCTCTACCGGGGAAGGATTTATTAAGTCTGGCGGCAGATCTTACATCTGGGTTCCTCCCCGTGGAAGAATTGTATTTATTTTAAAGTATGATCAACGTTATTAATAGTTGGCAGAGTGAGGATGAGTGCTGCTAGGAGCTAAGCAGACAGGACACCAGTGCCAGGATCCCACTGTTGCGGAAAATACACAGCTCAGGGAGGTTGCATTTGTAGTGAGACAACAGACCTTGCATTAAAGTGAACACTGAGCAAGAAAGGAACTTCAAGTCTTTACTTCAAGCAGTAAAGCTTGCCACGGCAGGCCAAGGAGGTAACGCTCAAGATAGTGAAGTCCACCTTGTATGACACTGTCAGATGCCAGTTTTGGGATACCTCTGTCAGCGTCCTGCCAGAACCACATGTTATCTGGCTTTTCTCACACCGATCAGAGGCTGGCCACTTGCGAGGCAACGACACATCCAGTGTCTGTTCAGGAGCCGGATAAGAACAGGGAGGCTGCGAGCCGGGCAGGATCTGGCCAGCCAGGCCACCAGCTGGAACATCAGGGAAGGTCTAAGGTGACAAAGACCTGAACGCTTACATAAGTTTCATGCAGTAGTCCGGTGCTTAGACCTGGCTGATAGCCCTTATTTGTTTGGAGGAATAGGAAGCTGAAGTTAGAGAGAAGGAATCGCAAACTCCTTCCGTCACTTGGTGTAAGATAGCCTGGCTTTAAATGAAGTTAAGCCTGTCACAAGGGCTCTGTAGTCCTCCATTTACAGTATGGATCTGGTAGGAATAGAGACTTCAGTCCTAGTTTCTGCTCCAATCAATATCTAATTATTTTATACAAAAAAATGCATCAATGTTTCTTTTTATTTTCGTATATGCCAGTTGGGAATTGTCAATCTGCTAGTAAATCTAGACCTAGGTCTCACACTTACCAACAGGAAATAATGTATGCCTCACCTTATGCATACAGGCACTCCTACATCTGAATTTAATGTATGCATCTTTAATTAAAAGATTTGGAACTTAGTCATAGTTACCATGCAGTATTGCCTAGAAAACAAAGCTGATAAAGGTATCAAATGATTCTATGTGTTTTTTTGACATGCATTGGTTCAAACTGCAGACTCAAATATAATAAAAGAAGATAATAAACTGATAATAATCAGCTGATTTTTCCAACCATAATGATTCTATGATTCTGTAAGAGACCTCAATGATCATCAAGTCCAACCGTATACGCGATGCCACCATGCCCGTTAAACCCACTAAACCATGTCTTGAAGTGCCACATCTAAACGTTTTTTGAACACCTCCAGGGATGGTGAGTCCACCACCTCCCTGGGGAGCCCATTATATAGGATGTTTAAATAATACATTTCTATAAGCTATCTGTAGCAAACTTACTTTGTTCCTATTCTAATTTCTTACACTAATTTTAATTAAAAGTCTGAAAGTAAACACCCCTATATTCATGGTAACATTTTCCCTTAGGTTCCAATTTCTTATTTACCGGTATTTATATTGCAAATACATTCTGTGTGTCTATACACACATGCATAAGTACAATGCATGATGGGGTAATGTGGCATGGAAGCCACAGGCTTTGTATTGCTATATGTATTTGGGATTGTAAAATGTACTCTAAAATAAAGGTTAGAAGTCATCTTTACCCACAGATACAAACATGCGCACATATATATCAGTAGCTTAGAAAGGCAAAAGTTTTACTTTGCTTTCACAGATCAAATGTTTTAAGATGCTGTTAAATAAATAGACAAAAACAGTAAGATGCTGTTCATACCATGTAACATTTAGAAAATCAATGAGCTAGTGAGTCAATTAAAAATATAAAGGAGAAACTGAGCTGAAGCCAAATGGAGACTGAAATATCAGCCAAACAATATTGTAACGATTCTTTTCACTTTTGACTAAAGAACAGAAACATCCTTTTCAAAAACAATTCATATAACTTGTCACTTGGCTTCCACAGCTTTTTTTTTTTTGAACAAGGGATATTCCTAAACAATTTTTTGTGTTTATTAATAAGGGCCTGAAGGCCTTGAAAACATGGAAGATACACTTTGACTCCCTCTCCCATGCCACATATAAGGGATTAATGCAGATCAGTAGTGGGGTCATTTATTTATCACTTTCTTCCAATCACTCAAACAAAATAGGATTTTTTTTGTTCTCTCAAGTAAGCTATTTCACACTGTACTGATGTTTAATCTATTGTTTAAATGAAAACTATAACTAGCAATATCTCATTTTTTAATGCGTACCTTTCGAGAGTGGTGTATCAGTATCTTCTCAGTGGAGAAAGTTAAAAAATGCAGTTACTCCTGGCCCAGTCAAATTTACTTTTTAGGTGGACTGCTGCAGCAATGTCTCATATGAAAGTAATAAAGTCTTTTACTCAGCAAGTAAGAAAACTGTTTATCAGTCATGAGGAAACAAGTTGTGGTGTCTTTCATGATCTGAAAAGCAGTTGCATTTTCTGGGTGGTGCTCCAAAAAGCTCATTTGCAGACAAATGTCTACATCTGTTGTAATGGGCTGACAAAGAGCAATGTTCAGGATAGATTCTTTCTTTCATTTTCTGAAATAATTTCCATTAAAGATTCATAGTCAGCATATTCTCTCAGAGTTTGTATCATTTCATCTAGCATTTCTTCCCCTAGCATGAAACAGTCAATATGATGCACTGATCTGCTTATCCTGTGGTCAGTAATCCGGTCCTGTGGAAAGTTGTATGTTCTGATCTTCTCCGACCTTCCTTTAGTCCCAATCTATCAAACAAGAAGAATCAATTTATCATCATCATCTTTTTATAAAAAGGATGTAGTATTGATTAAGCATCTAAAGCGAAAGCTTTCTCTTCCTCCCATGATTATCCAAAATTTGTTACAGTTATGTAGTACTCAGACCAGTTCAGTAGTTGCAGTAATTGTTTTCAAACATGTAAAAGAGCAATTTTACTGTATCTTTTTGTAATACTATTCTGGTTCTTTATGCTGTAATCCAATTTGTTTCACTAGATCTCTAGAATTTACATACTACTGAAATTTTAAGTCTGGCTAATATACGACCTTTATTGCTGAAGTAGAATGTAATTTTTTTTGCCTCATGTAAGTCCTTCCTGGGCTCCTGCCCTTCTATATTTCCATTTATTATTTGCAGTTCAACACAGGAGCTACCTCAAGAACATATGCTCGTACAGAATCATCTCTTTATTAAATGAAACTTACTTGAATCTTTCGAACACTGTTTCTCTTTTTGGTTTCTTCTTCCAGTTTGGCGTTGTATAGTTTAGCATATAGCATTTGCATAGCCTTCTCTTTGTTTCTAATTTGAGATCTTTCTTGCTGACATTCAGACACGATCCCTGCCAAAAATATCATGACATTTAACACTTAAGAGTAACACATACTAAAAGGGTTTTGCAATTTCTAGAAGATTTTTATTACATTACAATAAGCTATTTCTTTCTTCAATATGTATTTTAGACTGGGAATGTAAAAGTCCAGGCTTATTAATGTCTAATAATACATTTTGGGACAGATGTGCAGGCTGAGTTGTACAGGTTCTTAAGACAAGAAATTTAACTCAGTATGTTGGACAACATGTAGATAATGAAATAAAAGATACGTAATGTGATCTGACTTATAGAAGACACCTTTAATACTTCTAATTTTTGGCCACAGTTCCAGGAAATTTAGGATTTAATGAGCAGTAAAATACACGAGATAGTGACTATATAGAATTTGATCAGAATATACAAAGGGGGGCACTATTTTCTTTAAAAAAAGGTGTGGTTTCTTCCCCCAAAACATACAATTCAAGTTAAGATGAGAAATCAACAGCCTAAGAAACGAGTAGGGAGAAGAAATACAGGAAGACGACAGCACAAGCTAAGTTGTTATTTGGATTTATTTGAAGTAACTATGGTAAGATTACACTATGCTTTTATAAGATTACAGAGTATTACTTTATGAAAGACTTGTTTACAATCAACTTTTTGGATCACAATGAAGGTTTATAAAAAGAGTGAGGGTGACAGAAAAAGAAGTAACAAGACAATTGTAAAGCAAGAGAGATCAAGGGGAATGAAGACGGGAAAGGTGGAACAGGAAAAAGCCAGGAGATAAGGTGAGATATAAAACCCCCTATGAACCATCTCTCGTGCATAACCACAAAAAAATTTGCAATACATTTTAAGATTTCTATAACAAACACTAGTAACTGCCTTCAGCAAAAACTGAGATCATTTGCTGATTTCAGTTTGTGTTGGTTTTTGGTTTTTTTTTTTTCCAAACATGCAGGCAATCCAAAACTTTTTGAATATGGAGTACCTTTTTGTCATCATATCTTCAACAGAATTCCATCCCCTCCAGTGCTTACCTTCTGCTTTACTGAGGTAATGCAGCAAGTGCAGAATGGGTTAATGTCTTCAATAAATAAGAAGAAATGCGTGGCAAAAATCTTTATATGTGAAGATAAAGAGCACTCAGGATTACCCTGAAGTTGTAAAGCCTGACTAATGTTTGTGGTAGAGAAGAGGAAAAGTTAAAAAGCAATGAAAGTCAAGGAAGCTGTTGTGGATTGCTCAAAGGGAAGTAAAAAGCTTAGGAATGGCAATTAAAAAAAAAAAACAATTGCTAAAATCAGGTAGCATTTGAAGGTATATCTTATCCCTCCTACGTTTCCTAACCTGAGCCCTGGGGATGGGCCTCCTAATTATGTGTGTAATCTATGCAAAAGGAGCCAGCAGATAAATGGAAGCTGGCATCCCGAGTAGACTCTGCAATTAAAAGCAACATTTTAATATGGAAATAGAGCAATCTCTCTTTTGGAGACAAGTCAAGAAAAGGCAAATCATCAGATTTTAACCTAGTCTGTTTTTCAGTTTCTTTTCCATTATTTGAAAGCTTAAATGTAACTTTTTCATAGAAACTGATCTGGATGCTTTTAGAGTGTCATGCTTCATGGCAAAATGGACAGCTTACCTACTGAAGCCAGTAGTCTTTACTATTACAAATTGGAGTGGGCACAAGATGGTGCATTTAGAGTAATGTAAGCACACATGAAAACTACATGAAAACTCTGCTCTACTGTTGTCCAAGTTTGAAAATAAAACCATTGTTTCAAAAGATATTCTGACAGCAGTTTTGCAATGTAGATCTTATACTAAGGAAAAAATGAAGTACCTGTTGGAACATGAACTATCCGTACAGCACTGTCTGTGGTATTGACATGCTGGCCTCCAGCTCCACTAGCTCGCTTTGTTTCTATCCGTAGATCATTTGGATTAATTTGCAGCCTCATCTGTCATAGGAGACAGGGAAAAACAACAACAACAAAAAAGAACACATTTATGTTGCTTCTTTCTAGACAGATGTCAAATATGCAGAGTTGGTTTATTTTATAAAGCACATTCAAGCATTTAAAGTTTATGAGTGGTAGCTCACATCCAGTTATAAACATATTAACAAATCCTTGTAGCCAGATTGGAATGTGACATGATGGAATCCACGAAATCAGAAAAATAGTAGCTTAAGGCATAACCAACCCTTAGCAAAAGCTCTGCACCCTCTTTCAGCAGAGTTAACTTGCATTTGAACTTGACCAGACGGTTTTTAGATAAAACGGAACATATTCCCTTTGCTGACTCTGGAATGGGGCAACGGTCTCTGGGAGGAAAAGCGAGCCAACTTCAGGAGAGAACAGGAAGGAGTAACATCTTTGACAATTTGCTAGGTCAACATGAAACAAAGATCAAAACAAAGCTTTAATTCTTAGCCATTTGTTTTTAACCAAACAAATATGGCGAGAATGAGTTATCACCCGTACACTTTGGAAGGGGAAAGTGAGGACGCGACCAAAATGGGGAAGAGGAGGTGCTACAAGAAATCTCTATGAGCTCTGTAAGCTAATTCAGTCTTCTGTTACTTTGTAAAAAATATAAAGTTTTCCACAAAACATGCAAGACACAGTCACAGTGAATTTTCAAGTTATAGTGAAGTAAACTGCCAGTGACTTTCTTGAGACTAGGATCATGAGGAAATCCAGAAATTCTTTAATTCACCCCCCTAAACAAAAATAAATGAACAAATATGACTAGTTTAAAACTAAGATTAAAAAAAGGCATTTAGACAGAATAACAAGAGAGACAGAATAACAAGACTGAGACAGAAAACACTTGGGTATCAGCAATATGGCATGTGAAAACATTGCTTGTGCTAAAGTCTGTTATGCTAAAAGATAAATATTACCTTGGTGGGTTGGGGTAATATTGCAACAGTCATTGTACTGGTGTGAACGCGTCCTTGTTTTTCTGTCTTTGGTACCCGCTGAACACGATGCACTCCTCCTTCAAATTTCATGTACTTGTAAGCCTCAAGACCTGCTATACTGGCAACTGCATGTCTTAGGCCACCTTAAATACAGAAGAAAGACAGTTGTAAACCTGTAAGGAAAACTGTTGGTACTATGCTGTTATATTTCAAACAGTGCATTTAGACATAATTTTCATTTGTTTCTTAAAATTATGAATTTACCATTTAAATACTTAGGCAAAATTATACCAAAAATACTGTTAAAAACAAAGCCTGACATACATACTCACACACTATCTCAAGTACAGGACTGTCAAATTATTATCTACAAACCATGTATATACATGCACACATACAATCACAAACCACAGTAGAACTCTAACACCAGTAGTAAACTTACATACAGATCAAATTTTGAATGGCGCCTTCAGAAACTACATCATTTTATTGTTAGTTCAAAACCTTGTCATTCAATGGAAAAAAACCCAACTCTAACTAAAGGATGAGTGTTATTCATACTCTTCTTATCCATTCTCCTCTATGCATCCTACCCATGTCTTGCCTTTGCTCTTTCATTCCGTTTTAATCTTTTGCTCCTTTGGAGCGAGCAGAACTCCAACTCCTGCCCCTCTAATCAATACATCTAGCAAAACACTTGACAGCAATGTACTAAAAACTAGCATTGAACAGCTTGGAACTTGGAAGTAAAGGCCAATACAATCATGGCTTCGTGACAGAAAGAGTCTGTTGCAGTACGAGTTTATGGCATTCTTGCTCTTCCTTGTTTGCTAGTGTGCAAACCCTTCAGTCATGCCAGTATAACTGTTTGAAGGATCAGAGAAGTGATGGCACTATAAAAGAATGTAATGGTTTTTTAATCCAGCTCAGTTCCCAGATCCCATTCTCAGCAGAGTGGATGGTGTGCCAAGGGAATAATTAAAGAGGAGATAGGCAGCCTTGAAAGAGTATTGCTGTTGAAGTCTTGCAACATGAAACCACGGCTGAGGAAAAGCAGCAGCACATACTTCTCAGAAATACTGGTTTAGGCTATCTCTAGACTAAGGAAATCAACCATAGGGACAAGATAGCAGCTTTTTAAAAAAGGAAAATTAAGACAATGCAGAATCTGAAAATGCCCTGCAGAGCAGGAAAAAATGATCAGCCAGAACATAGGCTAGGGTTTTCACCTCCATTGAGGTTTGCTAATGTTTTTGTTAGAGAAATTTAATGTTCCCTCATACCTTTAGTAAAACATATTTCCTTTTACAGTCACGTTTGTGGAAAATAGTCTAAACTGCCGCTTCCTTTCTCTTTCATTTTTGCCCTTCTGTCTTAAAATTTTTCTCCTACTTGTACAAATCTGTACCGCTTTGACTCAAATGCACTGTTCAACACACCTAGTGCTTCACTGATTTAATTTATAGCTGTTACCTACTATCAATTCTGTAAGATAAATCCATCATGTTTACAATAAATCTGACCATAAACCATGTAGTTTAACAAATAAGAGTATCTGTAAAAATCTTCAGTTTAGATCAGTAAGTTTTATTCTAACAGGCAGTGTGAAATCTTTCTACTGCTGTGCAAATGCTACTCAAATGAAGAAAAGATTTCTTCTTTACTTAAAAGAATCTTATATAACGTAAAATAATTAGTGTAGTTGAGTAATAAAACTTACTTACTCCTTTACATATAAAAGCAAGTACTAAAAAAATCATAAGCAACCTCTGCACATGGAAGAAGAAGCCAGGCTATGTCAGGAGTGAAAATAATGTCAGTGTCCACATGGCTGCGGCACTACTGACATGTATTAATTACGTGATAAGCAGTTCACTGCAAAAGCTAATGTTCTGTCTTTTCTCCCTCACTTCTCCTGGCATTAATATATATACCTTGGGTACAGTCTATCTACTTGAGCTGCAGCCACATGTGACACATTCAAGGAAGTTTAAGTTTGCAGTGATAACCGTGCCTGTGGCACCACAGTGCTTAGTGTAAGATGACCAAGAAGCTAGTTCAAAAGACAGGCATTTAGGTCATACTGCTTCAAATGAACTAATACCAACACAGGTTTAATATGAAATGCAGCCAAATCCAATGAAACTTCAACAAACCCTTTACCCTGGCAGACATGTTGTAGGCCTGTGAAATGTAGTTAGGTCTTACTATGTGCTTGCCCCTTTCAAATAAAATGTCCCTCTCTATCCTGAAAGTTGATATGCACAGCACAAGGGTGTGAGTTTGCACTCATTTTTTTCTGTGGCATCTTACATCCACATTGAGACAAAGTCCCATATCTGTGTCTCTGCCCACGACTACAGGGTGAGAGGCAGTGGACAAATAATGACATGTGGGCTTGTGCTTTAATGTGCGTGCTAAATCTTGAACGTGCTATTTTTGCACAGTGGCATCCCTTGGGGTAGGTCAATAAAGTCAGTTAAGAGTGGACTGAAACCAGTTCTTAATTGCAGCTTTGTTTAACATTCACCTTGTTCACACATGCTCACATTCAGATTTCAGTCAAATTCTGGAGCTCTCTGAAATGAATGAGTTTGATGTTTTAACGTAGGACCTTGCTTTTGCTCATGCAGTCCATAAAAATGGAGTGTAGGTGGGATGCAACAGCCTAGTGTCACCAGCAAGCATCCTTAACTCTGTTCTTACTCAGCACAGCACAGACACTTTGAACCTGTGGGTTCAAACATGCCTTTCAGTGGCAGTGCCATCTATAGTGCCCCTACCTCCCAATTTATTTCTAGCTCCTCAGTTTTTACAATAGGTAGTCCTGCAAGTAAGATCAGAAAATACACTGCAAGAGGCTGACAAAGGCTAGGGCTGCCTTTATTTTTCTCTAAATTTACATCCTACCTTCCTAAACTTTTATTTCAGTGCACAGGCAAGCCCTCAGCAAGGCAAAAAGGGGTTAGAATAAATATAAAGCCATTAAAAACGTAGCCATTTCAAAGAGAAAATATGGATAGATACACACTAGGTTAATGTACTGCTTCAATTTCCCATTTAAGGCATTAAAGAGAATGCCTCTGAGGATGTAGGCTCTTTGTCCAAGGACTAAGCTTTCACCAAAGGGGTAGTAAAGCACAACTCCTTTTCTCTTCTAATCACAGGACTGCAAGTTGAGTCAGACCTGACTTAAAACTACCCAATAACAGACAGTTTTTAAGCCAAATCAGTGGATTGATCCAATTAGCACTGTGGCCTCAAAATTGCTCGAGCTGAGAGAGAGAAGGAACATATGGCTGGCAGTTGGCTGGAAGGTGGGATAGCCCTTGTTTAAGCTGACTGTGAAACTGTGCTCTGAAGGTGAAGTTGTATGTGACTGCTGGGGTTTACCCCATCTAAGTCGTGCCTCAGTGGAAAGGACAACTCTCCTCTCCCCCTAGTATATGAAATAAAAAAGACTCAGACCCTTCCACGATTCTGTTTACACCCATCTAACCTGCACCATGTTTATTCCTTTACTTTAAAAAAAAAAAAAGTTAACAGATTTCTGTTGGCTTTGAAGGCTGAACTGGCCTAGTTCCTGGCAAAGCATTTGCGTGGTCATGAACGGGGATAAACATGACTTTCCTCTTTCAGCAACAAGCTGTGCTGTAATGAAGCTGGTTCTTGTCCCTGTCTTCACTTGAACTGTGCAAACAGTTTACCTCTTGATCATAAAAAGAAAAAGTTTACTAATAGTAACAAATCTAGGTATTAGTCAATACTGAATTCAAGCGTCATTAAATTAAGAAGTATATTAACTGAATCGACAACAGCCACTCCAGAAGGAGATTCTGATACTGTGAAAACCTGAGTTCACGTTCATCGACTTGAAATAAGACACCTGCTAAGAACTCCAAAGAAAGTTATTTGAACATTTTATAGATATAACACTTTAAAAAATCAAGTTCTATTAAATATTTTAAGAACCTAGAAGTGTAAGTGAAATCCATAGTAAGTTAAATTGTATCTGCATATCTGAAAGGTGAAGACATAGGCCTCCCTTTTCTGAAGTGTAAATACAGACAACAAATCAAGCCTGTACCTAGATTTTCAAGTTCCCAGTTTGTGGTGTCCATTGTATTTCTTCCATGGAGTCCAATTTTTGAACCTTCTTTTAACCCCTCAATATATAACAGTGAATCAAAAACTGTACTTATGCAAGAAGGGTCTTAGAGCACAGAAAGACCCTCATTAGAAAGGGAAAGTAGCTCACTGACATGAGAAGCTCAGTTAGGAGAGTTGTGGATATTTATTTTTCGTGAATTTCTACACGGTTGAAAAAGAAAAGGTTCAAGATACTTGAAAATATCATTGAGTCCAAAATACTGCATAAGTAAACAGAAGAAGTGTTAGAAGATGCTTCACGTTTCTCAAAGCTTGCTAAAAATCTCTCTGCAATTATATTGTGTTGACTGAAAAAGATTAGAGTTTTTCTGACAGATTGCATATCCTAACATCCTAACTTTTCTCATTTCTTCTTCAAAGTTTCACCAAAAAAGAAAAAAAAAGCTGATGAAAGTATCAATACAGGTAAAGTTTCACAACCAATCTGAGGTAGGAGCAGTAAACTGCACCAGTGCCGATCTACTGATCCATACCCACTATGATATATACGTATTGCTGTGGAGGCAATGTAACTAAGCAAAATGTGCTAGCTTTACTCACAACAGCATAAGTAACAGCAAGCTTGCAGATCTGTTAACAGACTTAGCAAATCTGGCCTGCTAAGAAACATGGCTAGCAACCTGTCAACAAAAACCCGAAATCCCTGACACTGGTTAGGCATGTTTGGGATTGCAGTTTCACAGTTAGCTTAAGCTAACTGAACCTCTTGCTGCTGGAAGGAAGTCCTGGTTTTCTCACTGTCACCACCAGCAGACACACACTTCTGCCTCCACTGCCCTCATGAGCATTTCTCCTCTTCTCTTGTGCTGGATTGGACCTGAAAACTAGTCAGAGGGGTTTTTGTGCTCTTTTTCAGTTGGATTGACTTGCAAAGATGCATAATCACAAGTGCCAATGCAAAGAAGTCAGCAGCAACACAGAGACAGCAGCCTGATCTTTGTGAAACAACTTTACTCGCTAACTGGATTAACTACCTCAGTTTGTTGTGTAAACCTACCAATCCCGATCTTTGCGAAGACACTGTTCCATGAGATGCAGTGAACCAGCTTCACAGCTCATCATCAACAGAAGATCCAGGTTTTTCTACCTCCTTGCATTCAGCCCCATGTTGCTGCTTATCTTTTGCTAGCTCTAAGGTTCACAAGAACTGATTCAACACATTAACTAGACCAAAAAAACCTACCCCAGTCATAAAAAGAAGTTTTTGCCAGTTTAAGTGAAAGGAAATCAAAACAGACCAAAAAAAAAAAAAAAAGGTAGATCTGCTCAGACAGGTAGAGGCGCAGTAAGGAAGAGGGGAAAAAGGAGAAGCATGTCCTTTTACTGGCATCAAGCTGTTAAACTGATTACTTGTGAAATTATAGTTGAAGACTTTCATAAATAATTAGATCTCTTATCTCGCCTCTCAAAGTCTCAACAATTCCCCCACTTTGCTCATCCATTAGTTGTTACAGATGAGCTATATCCAAACATCCCATTTCCTTATATAAATCCTCAGATGACATTACTTCAGATAAATTCAAGATGTTTTTGATTAAACCTCAAGAATAGTTCTAATTATACAGATCCCTGTTTGCCAAGGGATCCATAATAATAAACAGACTTTCAACCTGCCACCAAACTGATCTATAAGCACTGGAAACACTAAGAAACTAAGTAGAACAGCATTTCCAAATAAAAAATACATCTAATCCGTATTTGTAAGAAAATAAAGCTAAAAAGGTATCTGCATCATTTTCTGAATGTTCTCCTGCCAAGCACTTAGTTTCATTTCTACTTTTTGAAACTACTGAAAGACAAGTTTTATTTTTTATCACTTTAGTATTTTAATGGTACTCCTGAAATGGAATTTCATTCTCAAATACAGAAGCCAAGGAAAGTTGTACTCAGATATTCAAACCATCTTCCACTTCTAAAATTAAGTTAGTGTAAATTAGCTTCCTGTAGTCAGGGAATTCAAGTGTCATATGAATTAGTGTTTCAACTTAAATTAAAAAGTTACAAAGATTAAGTATTTTCATTACTGACCTATTTCACTGGGAAAGTATTCTAATATTTCAAATTTCCACTTTTTATAGGCAGCATATCGTTGATACATATCAAATATCTCTGAGGTGAACAGCGTGGCTTCTTGCCCTCCGACTCCAGCAGTTACTTCCATGACAAGATCACTCTTGTCTGTTTCTTCTGAAGGAATCAAAAGCAACACTATCTGCAAATACAAAAATACGCAGCTAAGACTTCCCTCTGACACTGCTATCCACAAGTGAGATAGTATAAAATGCCAGACAAGCCTGTAATCGATCTAGGCTGCATTCTCCTGCACTAACTCATTGGTTGCCCTGAGGAGAGGCTTCTCACACCTCTTGCAGTGAAGAAGCAGCATTCAGGAACAGGTGGGGGGGATGCTGCATCACAAGAAGGCTCCCTGTGTCTGTTCACAGTCGCAGGAGCTACACAGGTCTCTCTCAAGACCTACAAAACTTCACAGAAGTTTTCACCCATCAGGAGCACTGTGACGTTTGGACACCACAGGATACACACCAGATCTTGCAAGACAACTGAGCATCTCCCTTCCCATCAAGTTCCCTTTTAACTTGGTCTCAACTGCAGAGCTAAGAAGGTATGGATGTTCAGGACAGTCCTTCAACAACAACTCAGCTGTATTATTAATTTATTTATTTAAAAAGGGAGAGCCAGCTGTGTATTGAACTGTAGGAGAAAGATAGACTAGAACCAAAAAACTGTATCACAATTTTGCAGGCTGGACCAAAACTGTGGATGATTTGCAAATGCTTTTCAATCATCTTCCTTTACTAGCATTAGGTGATGTTTCTTTCCACAGATGACTTCTTTTGGCAAAATCATAAATATTTACAAAAATATTCATAAAGCGACTGTTGCATTGTTGTCGAAGGAGTAAAGAATGTGACACCAGCTTCTCCTTCACTAGTAACATTAAGTATATTTAACAGTTTATGTAAAGATCATTATTTTTATGTTAAAGAACATAGATACTATGTAGATCCTGTATCAGGTAGCAGTCTAAAGTAGTTACATAGTACTAAACTATTTTTTTCAAAACCACTGCTGTGTGTGACACTATACAAGTTTAATGTTTCCAACAGATAAAAAGCTGGACATCTATCAAGGAACACCCAGGCAAGACAAACTGTAGCATCTACTTATAAAGATGTATTGATTCAAACAATTTCAGGTACACATAGGCACTTACAGGCTGTCTCTATACCATCTGCATTTTTCATTTTCCTTAGATAACAGACACTAGTTGAGGAGTATAATTGGCAGCGTGGGGAGGAGGAGAAGAGTCTACTGTATATATCTTCTTTTGATGAGAAGACAATCTGGCTTTATTAATTTAAGAATGGCAAGGAAATAGAGGCTTTTAAAGGGGATCTAACCTGGTGTTTCAGTTCAGCTATCTCTTCTTCACAGGAGGCGATTTCCCTTTCTGCAAGCTTCTGGAAATCTTCATTCTCATCTGGAATATTTGAGTACGGTTAATCCTCAGACTTACATCAGTGCCACTCTCAGAAAACCTTCTGAAAAATAGCCGCATGACGCACTTACTCTACAAAAAAAAAACCACCACAAACACCCCACCACACAAACCCCTCCAACACGCTAAAACTGTCAGAAAATGAAATTAATAATACAATCTGTAACGAAGATACACAGTACATATTAAGAGTGTTTTCTGATATTGTTCAGGTGATATTTCTGATATTGCTCATGGGAAAATCTGTAGTACAAGAAGTTCCACTTAAACAACAAAACAAAACAAAACAAACCCAAACTCAACCAAAAAAACAATTGCTGTGCTGGTGGTCAAACAGTGGCAGAGGTTGCCCAGAGAGGTTGTGGAGTCTCCATCCTTGGAGATATTCAAACCCCGACTGGACACAACCCTGAGCGAACCTGCTGTAGGTGACCCTGCTCGAGCAGGGGTTTGGACCAGGCGATCTCCAGAGGTCCCTTCCCACCTCAGCCACTCTGTCATTCTAAGAAATTACTTTCTGGATTACAATGTGACAGGAACATCAAGGATTTAAAGAGCACAGCAGTCCCACACTTGACACTCTTCATTAAAAGGACCTTTACCCCTATCATTGCATGCAAAAAACTTGGGGATAGTAGTAGTAATTTCAAGTATTTTACGTCTGTCAATTTATTCCAGAACAGCTGCAAAACTTCTAACGCATCACTAAAAACAAAGGTATGGAAGAACTCTTGCATAATAAGAGGAACTTGTAATTTTAAAGTGTTACTTGACTGATCAATAGTAATGCTTTAAAATTAAGACTTGTTTTTCTTTCAAAATTCACACACATCCCCTCCCCTCCCCCCAAAATTTTAAACAAGTCAACATCTTAAGTAGCCTCTGATCCGCACTGATGCGGCTCACTCACTCAGAAGAAAAAAAATATTATCCCAAAAAGGGGAAAATAGTACACACAAAGAAAAAGGGAGAACTGGGGCAGGCACAGGGAGACGTAACTGCACCGTCAGCAGCAAGAGAAGAAAAAGAAAGATGCTAGACTTATTTTTTCTGTGTACTTCAAGCTTTTACATACGTTCAGCTGAGTCGGGAGGTGCACTGTTACAATAAAGCCACATCTTTTCAGCACTGTAACTGCATTTAATCACTAGCACCACTTTAAATGAAACTTTTTGCCTTTAGAATTTAGGTTTAATATTGGTGAGTTAATCCCCCCTTCACTTCTGTAAAAAGCAAATTAAAAAGATAATCATGCGTAAATTGGTTTAAACAACGAAGATGCTTTACCTACAGCTGGCTAAGAGCATGCACGATTGACTACCTGACTAACCACAACTCTTTAAACATGATCAACTCCAACTATCTACATTTCTTTACAATAACTACTGACTGATCAAGGGCTAGTCATTAAGGCCAACAGAAGGAAGGCTAAGAATTAAGGAATTACAAATCTATCAGTCAAACCAGCTACTGATAATGCAATTATTATACAATTAATAAATAATCTAATATAACAATTAACAGCAGTTACATACTTTAAGATGCAAATATAACATAGGCTCTAAAATCAGTTTAAGACAATATCTACAAATATTTTAAAGGATGAACTACAGAAGTGCTGAAAGTTACTAAGCCCTTGTGATCACTTCACTTTGCTGAAGTTCTAAGCCTGGTTTTGATGACACTGACTTCTTCAGCAGGTTCTGAAAGGAAGGGAAAAAAAAAAAAATCTTCCATTCCATTTCATTCAGTTAGTTTGAGTCAATGATTAGTTTTTCAAAGGAACCATTTCTCCTTTTTCAATCTGAGGTGACAGAGAATAGAAAAAAGAAAACCAAAACATTTGCTTTTAGACAATGTTTGCCATCTCCACTAGTCAGAAAAACTGACCACAATTAACACTTTTGATTAATCAGTATTTAGCAAAGTAGTAAGTATTAAATGATCCAGGGAACATCTCATGATCTAGTGAACGTTCACTGATCTTCAAGTACTACTTTAAAGTACTCTTAAAAGTACTCCAAAGCGTTTTGGCTTCTAACTGCTACCAAAACGAAGTTTGATCCAGGGTAAAAAATTCACTATTTGGCAACACTAAAAGCGTGCAGCTACTAATACAATACAAAGTTAAACTACAGTGTGGAGGCAGCACAAACAGATGCTGAGGTCTATAATTGCCGAAATGGATGCAAACAGGCAGGCAGACTGGTCTGTATGACAGAAAAAAAAAAAAATTAAGTGTTTCTTATCCCTGATTAACTATCTTTATTTTATATGAAATAGCTGCCATCACGCTGCTCTTCCTTCAGGTATCAGCGGCTCCCAACGCCCGCGGATAAGCCTCTCCCGCTCACTTTACCCTGACCTCTGCTCAGGGCGTTTCTTTGCCTTCGGCAACGGAAGGCACGGAAAGTGCCCCACGCTCCCCCCGCTGACAGCTCTCCGACCCTCCCCGAGCTTCACCGCTCTCCCGCCACGGGAGGGCGCGGCCGCCCTGCTGCGCGGCGCTACA